GAACTTTTTATATTGGGTTTAATGGATCAAATTGATGGTAGTAGAAATTGGATGAATTAGATCAATAACTCCGAATTGGAAGAAAAAAAATCAAAAGATCGAAAAATCGGAATTTTGGAAATTGAAATGAAAATGTTGGATTTAACGGGTTATTTAATACAGCCCATTAACTCATTTCCTGAGACGGCCCAACAAGGAATCAGTCCAACAACACAAAAGCGTATGTCTCGATCAAAAAACTTGAGAACTCTCGATTCAGACCGTTGATTCTTACTTTTTTATCGTGTTCGCTCGTTTGAGGTACTTAACCTCGGTCTCTCTCTCTCTATCTTGCCATAATTTATAATCTCTCTTTCTCCTATCGTTTGTCTCTGATGAAACACCTGTTTTGAAATGACGATGGTTGTACCTGAGCTGTCTTCACCTTTTGAGCAATTTGAATCTTAACCTAGTTTCCAAATCTATATTTTTCGGTCAGCAGGTGAGATCCACTTATGAGTGGGAAACGCGAGAGTTCAAATTATGTAAGTGATTTTCTAATTGAGAAACGTGGGTCCGTATTCCACAACAGTCCAAAATAGCTTTTGTTTGTGGGGTCCGAAGGTGGGGCCCGATATATAATTCCGAACAGAAAAGGCCCGTTAGCCTATGTTTTTTCTGTTGTGATGAATTCGGGCCGACATTTGGGTCCATCTTATCACACATCCAATTCACAGCTGAAAGTTTCCTACTTGCCCCTAATCTTTTACACTCTTCACAATGTAGCACCCTAATGTTTCCTTTTTGCAAGTTTACCCCAAACAAAAGATCGGTGAATTTATTTTCTATGGAGATGATAATTTTATGTCAATTATGTTCCAAAAAATCGAAAATCGAAATTACGTAGTTGGAACGAACACTTATCACAGATTCGGTTTTTTAGATCGAAACCTAGAAATTGAAAATTTTAATTTTTTTATTCATATTATAAGTGTACTTTTCTTAAAAAAATTGAATCTTTTGGAATATTTTCCGAGAATTGGAATCTAGAGATCCAATTCGGATTAATAAAACAAACTATAAAATGTTCTTGATTTCAAGGGGAAATGTAATTATTTGAAAATGACACTAAATATAATTTTGTTTTTTTCCAAAACGACACATGGAGTATTAAACTTCCAAAATGATGAAATTAGTTGGGTAACGTTTATTTACGAAAACCCCCTCATTTCCCAATAATTGCAACTATCCCCTTGAAAGTTGCAAATTTCTTACATTAACACCCTCTTGTAAGGAGGTGAATGCAAGAAATTTACAAGCTGCAGGGAGCTGAAGGAAAAGGTTCAAGCAAAACAGTTTTTGGGTGTAATTACACTGTACCTCAGGGAGGCGATTGTAATTTATCCAAATTAGCTCAATCAACTAACATCATTCATTGCAACTTGTTGTTGACAGTAAATGCCTTAATAGAATCCAATATTTGACCCAAAATTAATTTATTTTATTTATTTTATTTTTAGTCATAGAATGTAATAAAATTTTAACAACAACCAACATATAGAACTACATTAATTATTCATTTAAAATTGTTGATGGAACCTTCAACTGCTTGCTTTGTAGGGTTGAAGATCAGATCAATTGAACTTTAATTTTCTCTGCACTTTGAACATACTAAATTCATATCTCTATGTACTTTTTGCATATCAAAGTTCAAAGGCCAATTGAATCTTCAATTGTACTACTCTAGTGAACTAAGATTTGTTTTCAAACATTGTTGGTGTTAGAATTCTCGAAAAAGCCTAATCGTATATTAACAGTCGTTAGAATATAACGTTTTTAGTTCATTTTGAAGAAAAAAAAAAGAATCATGTTTCGATCGACTTTGCATGCTGCTAGAAAATCTCAATTGGTTTCACATAAATAGACGAGAGAATCAGAAGGAATATTGATTTCAAACAGTTGAATGTCACGTTGAAATATATCATTTAATATTAATATCGTATGCTTTCTCGGAATCTTTCATTTGGTCAGACTATAATACCATGTTGAATGATCAGCTCAACCAAAAGATTACGCTAGTTCCGACCCTAGGCATAGAAAAATTAGGAAAGTGTCTAGGCCCCCAAACTTTTGTATATTGTGTTAGGGCCCCCCAAAACTATGTTTTGGTACAATTAGGGCCTTATATATGATTTTATTTATTTATTTATATGTCTACATAAATAAACAAAATATGCAAATGCAACTCAAAGTTTTATCGAAAAAACGGCTACAAACATATATCAGTTAATATTAATATCTCCGATGCAGGTACGAGAAAATCCGGATTTCAAAATTGAATTGAATAAAAGTCCAATTGATATATGTGGATGAGATTAATTAGAGCATTAATTGGAAGGTACTTTGTTTAGTGATGAGTAAATATACAGGTGGCGCTGCTACCGCCGGCGTTCTTTAGTATATATGTACGATCCAACGTTGAATTTTGCAGGGGAGTTATGAATAGTAATTACTCCGCTTAATTGCCCTAACATGCTTAGCTTTCAAAACAAACTTTATTCATTTGTTTTTATGTATATATTAAGGGTGGTAAACGAGCCGAGCCGACTCGTGAGCTCGAAGAGCCGGCTCGTAAAAAGCTCGAACTCGGACTCGAGATTTTCGAGCTCGAGCTTTCTGACGAGCCGAGCTCGAGCCGGTTTTTTGTTGTTCATGAGCTCGCGAGCCGGATTTATTATTATTTTTTTATTTTTTTTTTATTTTTATATGTTATTTTTATTTAAATAATGTATAATAATATAAAATATTATAGAAATAAATACAAATATTAAAAATATATATAATTACAATTTAGTTTTTATTTTTTATTTTTTAAATAATTTTTAATAATAAAATAATAATTAAAAAAATATTAAAAAAAAAAAAAGACAATGGGCTCGAGCTCGAGCTCGACAAAATTGACACGAGCTCGAGCTCGAGCCAAAAAAAGAGGAACTCGACGAGCTCGAGCTCGAGCCAGCCAAAAGAGACGAGCTCGGCTCGTTCACACCCCTAGTATATATATAAATATATTAGTAATTTCCCACCCTTAATTTACACTTGTCGAGCTCGAGCCTGAGTTCAAGCTCATCGAGCTTCCATTTTAGGAGCTCGAACTCGAGCTTTAGTCGAGTCGAGCCCTCGAGGTCAACCTCAACTTTTTTTTTTTACATAATATTAATATTGTTTTTTTTTTATTATTAATTATTCACATGATATTAAAAAAGGTTGTAGAATAAGAAGTTTATTATTATATTATGATTACAAATATTTATTATTATATATTAGTAAAACGAGCTGGCTTATTAACAATTAACGTTTGGCTCGAGCTCGTGAGCTCGAGTTTGATCCCTAGCTTTTGTCGAGCCGACTCAGCTCATTTACACCCCTAGTCGCACTTTATAAATATAATATAATTAATTTCAATTTAATCCCATTTAATTTATCTATGTTAGCCAATAAGATATTTTCTTTTTTCTCTTGATATGGTAAAGCATAGAGTGAACCAAGAAAGTTGAATTATGACCGAATAAGAAGGAATCATATTTTCAATTGTCTTTTATATCATTTGGATGTATATCATAAGAATTGATGTGCTTAAGTAGCTAACATGTCATTATATTGATGTTAATTATTCATATGTACAAATGACTTTATTGACTTTTAGGCCCTTTTCTTAACAAGTGGGAGTTAAGTTTATGATATGTTCCTTTCTGATTTCCAATTAGATCCCATTATTGTTAAGCCAATTGGTTAAAAAAGTTAATACCATATCCACAAGTTTAAAAAACTTGATCTACTTTGGGAAGAGCCACCAAGTGTGATATGATATATACATAATGTAAAGATATATTATATATACATAATTAACCTAGCCATTACAAGTTTGACTAACTTTGATTGGAATTGGCTAAGAATCGATGTAGAGAAAGACATACCACAGTGTTTGGTTATGTTTTCAGGACACGTGAATTATTTTCCGAAACAAATTCGTGTTTGTTAAGGTTTTTGAAAAAAAAAAAATCTCAAAATAAGTTCTAAAGTTTATGTCTCTTTCAAACGTGATTTGACTGCTACGGTAAAAATTGTCTTCACTAAAATAAACTAACAAATATCACTTTATTTTTCAAATTCTTCTTCTACAATATATTTTCGGAACATCATTAACATCATTTGACTGCTTTTGACTGCTCCAGTGCATTTTATCTCATCTCAAATTACAAACAAATATTAATTTTGTTTTCTAACTATTCCTTCAAAACGAAACCAAACATCACCAATCTACCCCGAATTAATTAATCCGACGAAATTCGAACATCCGAATTAAAATTAAATTAAAAAAAAAAAAAAAAAAAGATAGTACTTCAAAGTGAAATCATGCCAATTAAATGATCATGTCTACCATCTCCATGTTCTCCCATTAGTGTCTCAAATCTCATGATACAAACAAACCCTAGAAAAAAAAAATAAAAAAGGACAAAAAGGACTATTGAATGTTATATCTATCAATACAGGCCAAATCAAATATGCAGTAAATATTTAACCACTGTTAAAAAAAAATATTTATTTAAAAATATCTTTCAATTCAGAGAAAGCGCAGTAAGTACGCCCAATTAAAGGGTAGTAAAATGTAATTCCACCACCACAAAACGACAAAAACAAACTTCTCCAATTAATTTTTTTTTTAAATAATAATTAAAAACTGGAAATGTGATAGCTATGCAAAAGGGGGGGTACGTGGCAGTTAACAAGCACTACAGGTTTTACTTTCTCTTTCCACTACGTTCCCTATTTATCTTTTCGCCAATCCTTTCATCAACCCCCGGATCGGAACACCTCAATTTCCACCACCACCACCACCACCGCCGCCGCCCGCCGCCGTTTGAAGGGGAACATGAGATGGTGGGTCTAAGTGTAATACTGGAGAACAACAAGGATCTTTCCGGCGACGAGCAGAGAAGAAGCCCTCAAGTTATCAGTAAAGGGAGCATGATAAAACCGCCGTCAAACCCTCCTTCCCCCACCGCAGCTCCGCCGTCTCCGGCGGGCTTCTCGAGGAGAAGAAACGCATCGAGTTTTTCTCCGGCTTGTGGGTTTCTTGAATACTGTTTTCTCTGCACGCAGAAACTCTTGCCCGGAAAAGACATCTACATGTACAAGTAACTATTTTTCTTTCTCTCTCTTCCTGTATCTATATATGTATGTATATATATGTTTGTGTGTAAAGATGATTAATTAGTGTACAATGTTTGATGCAGAGGGGACAAGGCGTTTTGTAGTGAGGATTGCAGGTGCAGGCAGATCTTCATGGATGAAGAAGAGATGAGTGCTGCAAAGAGAGGTTGTACCTTAGAGTACAACCGTTCGTTGGCTGCCACGTCATCATCTTCTTCTTCACCATCGTCTTCTTCTTCTTCTCGTAGTCGCAAAGGGGCAGCAAATCGAGCAAATTATAACGCCTTCGCCTACTGAGTGATTACATATTTAGTTTCCATTTCTGCCCCTGGTAGATTTTGTTTGTGGCTTTTAGGCCCTCTTCTCTTTTTACTTTTCTTTTTTTCCTTCAATGCTCCATAGGATCAAGCCATGGGGGGTGGGGTTTGCCGGTTTGTGGGGGGTTAACTGCTCAAGTTGCTGGCGGAGGAAACATGGATCTGCTTTTATTTTTATTTTATTTTTCTTTTATTTTTTTTCGAGATGAAGGGTGTTTTTGGAAGTTTGGTATATTGAGAATATATTTGGTTGCTTCTTAGTGATTTTAGTCTATTCCAAATTAGCACTATGTTTGTTCGATGTTACACTGGGTACATGATATTGCACTCAGTTAAATAGATCGTATATAAATTTACCATACAACCCCGTAAGTAATTCTTTGCTGCAAATATTATATATACACGTGTGTGTGGTTACGTATAGATCTATGATGCAGGTGTAGCATATTCATAAAAAAAAAAATTAATAATAAATCAAGTAGGTGTTAATATGTTACGGGTGGGTTTTGTAGATATGTTACGTCCAGTTAAATACATCGGATATCGCGATGATCTTGAACCATTGATCTACTCATAATAAATCATGCACTCATATATATACGTTTAGTGGATGATTATTTATATAGATCTATGATTTAAATACAGAATGTA